TTGATTTCTTGGTAAGTTTTTGTTCACCTTTTTGTATAAGGTCTGGAAGCAATGGAGGTGGTTACAGAGCAAAAAAAGACAAGTGTGCCGGTGTTGCCATTGATGAGAAATCCAGTTGATAATAACTTCTACGAAGCATGTCCGTTTAATTTCCTCCCTTTTCTGGACCCTAGGTAATATATGCTCAACGACGGTACTATTGAAATTTACAGCTGGACATTGTATTTATTTTATTATCTGTATATTTTCTTGTTTGTTTTGCTGAGTGGAAATTTCTGGTAGCATAGGAAAGGGGTTTGGATTAAATTATGGATGTATTAATGCCATCACAACTTATTACACTGTGGTTAGATTAGTTGAATGCTTTGTTACTTATTCTTTTATGATCCAATTTCTCTTTCTTCCCCTGTCACCCTCCTTGCTTTCCTTATTTTAGTTGTATTCATTTTCAGATTATAGGCTGCATTATGTAACATGGGTATCGCTTCGCTTCACTATTTGCCTATAATGATAATCTTGAGTGGTATTTGATTTTTATAATGTCATGTGTATGATTTTTTGAGTGGTATTTTAAAATACAGTTTGGGCATTGGAGAAAATTTGTAATAACATGATATTATTATTATTAGTATTTTTTTTTTTTCATATTCCACGCTTGGAAATATGATTTAGGAGGAAGAGAATTCAAATATTCATTTTATTCAAAAATAAAATAAAATCCTATTATGTCTCCATGCCACAGAGATAATTTTTTTTTTCAGTGGTACATGATGCAACGAAGATCAAGTCCAAAATAAAAGCATTTTTTTCTTGTCGACAATGATTAACTAACGTGCAACACAGGTTTTCTTCACTAGTTATATTGAAATTAGTTAAGAGGTAATAAAGAAACAAGAGCTTAGTGCATGAAGAGGCCTTCTAGCTGCAATTAAAAATACCAAAAGCTATCTTTTTAGTCTCTAATATTTCGAACACCAAAAATCCTTTTGCTTTTTTTCAATTTCATCCCAAATGATTATACATTACATCCTGGCCAATCTAGGACAGTCGCTCAATGCACAAGTGCTGCATTCTAAAGTTATTATGATTGAAATTTCATAAAATCTTGCAACGAAATCATTTAAATGAGAATTGCTTTTTATGTTCATGAAGGAAACAAAGTTAAGTAGTAACAATATCTTCAATTTCTTATAAGAAATGAAATTATTTTACTGACGTAATTGGTAAATCCTTCTAATATCCTAAAATTCACTATACAAAATGTGATCCAAGCACAATCAATAAACTCAACTACTGAAGCTTAAAACTAAATTACATGGAAAATTTGTGTAATTGAGGGTTTATCTAACAAATAATAAAAAAAAAAACCTAGATGTAGATATGATGAAATTAAAGTAGTAAATATAATTTACAGAGAAGAGAAGATTGCAGGTGCCTCCTTCACAATGGGCAAGATCAATGTGTAAGCAGCCAAGTATTAATGCAAGGTAGGTGAAACATGTGGTGGCATTGAGGCAAACTTCAAACAATTTTCCCGACCTGGAAATCCTGAATGTTTAGAAGATGATGCCATGAGATTTTCTTTGCAATCAGTTGAATTGATCAATAAATGATTCATTATTATTCGTGATTCATAGTACCTGAAGACAGACTGAACAAGAGACTCTCCACAGAAGCATCAACAATTTTATCTTACCAAATACAGTATACACCCAATGTCATATTCATCTGATAGCAATAAAATGAGCGAAGTCTCGAAGACCTTGATTGAGTAAATAACACCATAAAAATGCCAAAAGCAGCCCCTCTAACAAGCCTACTTTTAGTCTCCTGCTCGATTGGACCACAGCAATGGAGGAAGAAACCAAAATTCCTTCTTTAGTTTCAGCACATGTTTGACGCGCATTCTTTCAAAACTCATTTTCAACCACACATTCTTCAATAAAATAATATTTTCTATCACACTAATAACTTTCTTTACTTTTTAACCACATATTTCCCATCATATCACTATTTAAAATACATTTTTTCCTCAATAATATTCATCAAACACACCTTCAATAATGAATACCATAGAAACAAAGGAAATATCCCTTTTACAATGAGCCTCCCTTCACACAACTTATTTAAACAGAATCATGCTACTCTTGATAGTAATAATCCAAAATAGAACAGCGGAAGATTCAAAATCTAACAATCCATATTCTGCTCAATCAAAAGCTATTCATTTTTTTTTTTTTTTACTTTTCGAAATTGGGAGAGTCTTCAGTTGAAGATATCACATCAATGGAGACCTAAATCAGAATAAAAACATGTAAATGAATCAAGAATGACAGCCATTTTATTAATAAGTTGCAATATTGACGAACAATTAAAACCTCTATAGTAGCCAGACTATATAATCACAATATAGAAAGTCATTTGAGTAAGGAAATTTTGCCTAAAAATTCAATATATGCACACAATATATAATGAAAAACAATGATGAGACATGCACATATTATCAAATCAAGCAGTTGCATTGTCTTAACCAAAACTAAGTTAATAAAATCAAAATCAACTTACAATTCTACATATAGAAACAACCAATATATTCTGATGCATCCCCTTGATAATTTTACTTGGGTCTCTCATATAAGGAGCCACTTGTCTAATGATATTTTGAAGAAGTGTAAATAGTTATTGTGGACTGTTGTTGAGTTCACTGCACAAGAAAAAAATTGAAGTCTTAAAAATTAAACCTGATTAAAGGTGTGTAATTTGCCTCAAATAGTAGAAATAACAGTTGTGTTTTCCTTTGCCATTTATTGATTGAGTTTTTTTTTAAAAGATCTCATTCTGCAAAATAAGAAAATCCAATAAATGACCAAGATCCTGTAAAATGAAATGTAAATTAAGAGTGAAATGTAGTTATTCTAGAAAATTCAAAATGCAACATGTAATCGAACAATATAAACAATTGGTGTATCAAAAATTTATGTCCCTTGCACGTGGTAAAGTCGTATTGAGTATTTAGTAGTGCAGAATAAATATAAGTATGACATAAATTAACTTTTACATGAAAGAGTAAACCGATACATGGAAAAAATTTGCAAGCAGACTCTTGTTCCCAAAATATATTTTAAATAAATATTATTTACTAATTTGTATCTAATACTAATTAAATTTGAACTAACTGTATTCTTTACCAAGAGAACTACGATTTAAAACTTATAGACATAATGCTGTGGGATTCCTTCATAATTATTTGGTGCAATTTTTTGGAGAATGAAAAACCCATACGAAGAAAGAATCGAGAAATCAAAATTTAAAAATTATCTATTGATCTAAACAAAGAGATAAAACATCAGGTGGGCAAGAAAGTTATGATTTTTATCGTGAGTTTCCCGTAATTACCATTAGAAGTTAGGGCTGTAAGCAAAAACCGTCAAATCAAAAAATCAAACCGAAATCGCATTTTAGAAACCGTCGGTTGGGTGCCACGTGGACCCATCAACGAA